CCCTGAGCCGGTGAGATTTGAACCGCTGACCTGCTGATCTAGCAGTAGCCTGCAGTGCTGCATTTAACCACTGCGCCACCTTGGCTCATAGTATTTCGATTATCAGCAGCTGTGACACGCAGTTTATATTATCTAGAATCATCGGATTTCCTGATTTCTAGCTAATTTACAGCTGATCATCGGAAATCGAAGGTCCTACGCATGCGCGGAGGTGGCACAGGCACTCTCACATCACCCGAACCGGTAGCAAAGATAAGTTGACTTCACCCCCTGCATTGAACTAACCAACATGAGAACATAATGGTGGCCTAGATAAAGTTTGGGGTCTGGTACGCTAACATTTCAGTGACTGAGTAATGACACATTAAACTCAATGGTTTGTAGTGAGATCCTAGCTGTATTTACAACAGACTAAGTCGGTATTTTCTAAACATAACTTGAGACCTGTATGTGTACAGAAGGTCACATTTAGAGAGAAACATTCTGCAGGGATAACTCACTTCTGTGAGAAAAAGTAAGCACCTCCGTCCTTTTATTTCTACTCAGGTGAATGCCTTTACTTCTTTAATGCGTCTTAACTTTGAATAACCAACTCTTAAGAGCTGAAGGAATTCATTGAAAGTCAAAAAGTATTTCTTTCATCTTTCCTGACAAGAAAATAATTTGATTCAGGCTGGGAGGAATTGTGTGATAACAATTTGCCCAATTTTAGGAAGACATGAGTTCAGTTTTAGGAAGTCAGAATTCAGTTTGATTCCCTCAAATTTTGGTGCACGTACACTTTGGGCTGATTAAAGATACACCAGGAGTGGGTCACAGACAACCATGAAACTCTTTTTTGCATCTCTAAAATGTGCAGCTTCTGGCCATTTTAAGATAGAAAGCAGATGAAAACAGGTTCTTATCACATATGTGTTATGTGGCCCCAATAACTTCTTGACTGTCAGCATCCCCAAGATGTTATCTGCTATCCTTGTTCCATGGTGACCCCTACCATAGTGCATTTCAAACTAAATAGCCAATATCCAGGATCCAAATTTGGTTTCGAAGAAGGAAGGAGTTGAGAACACTGATTGCATGAAAAATAAACCCTAATATTTTCCTCTGAACACAACCCAGTCTAATAACATTCAGTTTGCCTGCTGAGAATTACCGTATTTTCAGAGTATAAGGCACTCCGAAGTATAAGACACACCTGCTTTTGGGGAGGAAAACAAGGGAAAAAATCTGCTTCTGCCTCCCAGCAATTTGCCTCCTTGCAACAAACAGAAAACACTACAGACGATATACAATGTTTGTGGTATTACATTTCAGACTATATTTATTTATTTATTTATTNCTGCATTTAACCACTGCACCACCTCGGCTCTATATTTTTGCCAGGACACAAAGTCATACTCTTGGGAATCCTCAGTCAGAACACTGAGTCACTAATGAATCTTGTTCTCCTTGGGGTCCTGAGCCATCATGGTAGACCTTATTAGAATAACCCATATTATTCCTCTCCTCCCATCCTTTTCCCAGTGTACCATAACATCCATTCAGTGTTCCAGCTGCCATTGTAATGATGAAAAAAAGGGAAATCTTATAACTATGTTCTCATCAAGCCCGGAGGACTTGAGTGCTGCTTTCTTAGCCCAGAAAAAGCAGGACAATCCCAGAAATTAGAGGAATTGCACTGCTGGTGCAACCTCGTCCTGGGCCCCACACTTGGAATCATCCAGTGCATGTGCAGTCAGCTGGGAGAGAGAGAGCAATCCAAGGTGGTACCACCCAGTGTCTAACCCTTTGGAAGTTTGATGGATGCCCACTGCTTCTGGAAGCTCCTCTGGCTAATGGGTTGGCTTTCACCTGGAATGTTTTCTCTGATTCAGGTCTCTCAAGATTTGATTTTGATTTTGTGCCCCTAAGGTACAGGTTATCTTTGCTGTGCTGATCAGCCAAGTTTTTGATTTGCAGCATTTGCCTCTATCCTGGCACTAGAATAGAATAGAATAGAATAACAGAGTCTGGAGGTCTTCTAGTCCAACCCCATGCCTAGACAGGAAACTCTATACCATTTCAAATTAATGGTGATCCAACATATTCTTAAAAACTTCAAATGTTGGGGCATTCACAACTTCTGGAGGCAAGCTGTTCCACTGATTAATTGTTCTAGCTGTCAGGAAATTTCTCCTCAGTTCTAGGTTACTTCTCTCCTTGATTAGTTTCAACCCATTGCTTCTTGTTCTACCTTCAGGTGCCTTGGAAAATAGTTTGACTCCCTCTTCTTTGTGGAAACCCCTNCCTGATGTCAGGCCCTGGAGCAGTGGGGAGGAGCAAAGGGAGTTGGTCCTGGACGCCAGGCAGAGAAGGGCGGAGAAGCCCAGGCAGCAATTACGGAGACATAGAAGATAATCAGACCCAGGTGGTTGTGATTTGGCTCCTCCCAAGAGAGTATATAAGAAGAGACTTTGGGAGGAGACTTTTTGCAGGACACAACCATTATAC